GGGTTTGCCCTTGCTGTGGAGAGCTGGCTGAGGATGTGTGGCACTTGTTCTTTGTTTGTAATAGAGCTCAAGTAGGTTGGAAGATTGCCCCTGTGTCTTTAGACACTTCTAACTCTTCAGCTTATGATTTTAGAAGTTGGCGGTGGTGGATATAGTTTTTGAGGTTCGCATTCAACCCTCGACCTATATCTGGTGGTTGCTTTAGAAGACGCGAAACCTTTGGGTCTTTAAACAAGTTTGGTTGCCAGAATGGTTGATTATTCAGGAGGCTTAAAGGGAGTGGTCGGACTTCCAAGAGTTGTCTGGTTAGCTTGCAGGTGTGATTCATTGGGACTAGGTTCTTATGTTCAGTGGCCCCAATGATTCCAACCCCATTTTTTTTTCTCTGTTGTTTATTTTGTAGTTGTGTGTGGTAGTTTGTTTTGGGTTTTTGTGTTGGTGGTGTATTCGAAAGGACTCAAATCTTTGTATTTTTCTTGGGTTTACTAGTGTGTTTTGTATCGAGGCCACCATGGGTGTTCTCCTTGTAGTATGCTTGTAAGGCTAGCTAGGCTTGTCAAAACAGGCCTAGGCTCGCGGCCGGCCCTCCCACCCCGCCTAGAGGGTAGGTTGGGCTGACATTTTGAAGGCGTGCTAAAGAGCGGGGGCCTAAACAGGCTGACCCGTGCGGGGAGCGGGTTTTGGCTGGGCGAGCCAGCCGGGACGCGGGCCAGCTTGCCTAATTTTTTTTTTCAATATTTTTCAATAATATGTAAAACTTCAGACTACAAAGCACAAATTGGAATTTTTAGAAATTCATTTTCAATTTGCAATTCAAGGAAAAAAAAATGCATCTTTAGTTTAAACCTGATACAAAAAATCAGAAATCTTTTTCACAAATTTAATTCCCAACCCAGCCTGTGGAACTCGACGGCAACAAGAAGCTGCCACTACTTCCAACCGGCGGACGTCGATGAAAAAAGTAAAAAAATAAGAGAGGGAGAGAACTTCCAAGGCGGCGACCGAGAGAGAGACCCATCAGCGGCGAGGCGGCTCCGTCCGACGATAGTTTCCGACGCATAGGAGATACAAGGATTGACGATGCCATGGATGATGATGACGGCGATTTAATGGCTGTGAAGTGTCTGCGGCGCGACTAGGAATTGAAAAAGAAGAAGAAGAAGATAAGAGAAGAGGGAAATAGGGTTGGGTCATCGGTCGAATAAATAGAAAAAAGGAGAGGGGAAAAGAATCAAAGATAAAAATGTGGGTTGGGGCTAGGCCTGGATAGGAAAATAGAAATAAAAAAAGAAAGTTTGACTTGGACTGAGGGCTTTTAATCCAATATTTTAAATTTTAATGATTTTTTTTAATTTAGCCGGCCAACTCGCCTAGTCCACGGACCATGACGGGAGTGGGTTGGAGTGGCCATTTAGAGGCCCGCCCCACCCGCCAAATGACGGTTTTGGCAGGCTACGGACTTGGCCGGCCCCCCGCACCGTCGGCCCTTTTTGACATGTTTAAGGCTAGTTTGCCTTCCCATTGTAAACCTTCATCTATATTTATATAATAAGGTGTACCATTTACGAAATTTAGTAAGTTGAAAAGTCATTGCAATAAATGCATTACTATTTAGAGCAACATAATATAATATCATATCTATACTTATATAAAAGGAGATTCTATTTACTACATTTACTATCCAGAAAAGTCAACTGCATTAAATGCCATTACTATTTTGGTATTATAATATTTTGTTTATTTAATTTATTTATTTATTTATTTTATTTTAAAAAGGTAAATATAATATAAAGATTTTAATAATAAAAAAATCAAATACAAAATAAAAACGTACACTTTGACTTATTTTGATTATATTTGGTATTTGATTATACCAAATATATTCCTATTTAGTATATACATTAATACTTGGGATTTTCTATCGTCAGATTCGCTTCGTACCAGTCTCGTACCTACCTAACATCAGGTTCTCCATTAAAATAATGCCACGTGTCATTTCAAATTTTCATTTAAGAAAATAATTAAATAAAAGTTTGTGTAAGTACTAAACTATCCTTACTTAAAAGAAATTATAAAATATGGTGTTTAACTTTTCTCATATTATTGTTCTACCCTAATCACATTTACATATTACAATTAAGACACAAATTATAAATAAATTGCATTCTTTTCATCTACTCGATCTATTATCTTCATCGCTGTGAAAATCATCCTTTGAATGCTTCTATAGTCGATCAATCAACCAGTGCATATTCGGATTACACGGGTGCTTGCTATTTTGTTTGCTTATTCTTCATATATTCACCAGGTTATTGTTATTTCGTTTACTTATTCTTCGTAGTCGGATTGTGATTTTGAATGTCTGCCTGTTATTTTGTAAAATTTTGTCAATCACTTGCGAAATCATATTCGATCGATGTCTGATTTTTATTTTAGGGTGATTAAAACCGAAAAATCGAGGTAAATATTTTGAACTGCAATCGCATTCTCTATTGTACGTATTTACCCGATATGTTCATTATTTATATTCTTATACGAAATTTGATCTGCTGCGATTCCTTCCTGGTTCTGCAAATTATTTTGGAAATATGTGATGTGAGGGTGTGGGTTATTTAAGAGACTCCATTGTTGTATTTGTGCTATTATTTGTAAGGCACTTTACATGGTCGTCGAAATGTATGAATGAGGACGACAAATGTGTTTTTATATCTTGTGTTGTTGTTCTTGTTATTGAGAACATACTTGAAGTCATGATAAAGCGAGGATTTGTATTACATTTAACAACCCGACAAATGTGTTTTTATATCTTGTGTTGTTGTTGTTGTGCAATGATTTGAGAACATAGTTGAAGTAATGATGAAGCCAGGATTTGTATTACATTTAGCAACAAGGAAGCACGCACCCATACATATAATACAAATGCCCATTTGAAACAATGATACCTAAACAGAGTTGAATTACTGCTTAAGTGTGGTTTAATATTTTTGATAAAATGATTGGTGTTTGTATTGCTGAGCATTTGTATAGTTCAATTGCTCTGAGTCTTGTGGTACTATTTACAAGGAGTACTGAATGTACATTTCATCAATTTTGAAAGTGTTTTGACAGTGGTTTACTACTGTTAGTGCCCATTTTGTTTCTCTTGATCAGATTGCTGTGGAATGTATGGCTAAAAGAGAGGTGGTATTTCATCAACACTTTAAAGTGATTCTGCTGTTTTCAGGAATTCTTGAAGCAATGTGGCTAGAAGCTGTGAGATGGTATCTTTTCAAAGGAGCGCAATTCTGGCTGGAATAAGTATTTTGGTTCAGATTGAAGAATAACAATCTGGTGGCCAAATTGAATAAGAAGCAGGGGAGTTGGACATTGAAGCAATGTTCTTGTTAGATTTGGAATGGTCTGTCGTAAGGGATGCTTGTAAAGCATTCCAGTAAACAGTTAGCAATCAGTTGATTGCTCGATGTGTAATATGCTTGAGTTTCAAACTTTGAATATAGTTTTGTTAATAAAAAAAAAAAATGTTTTGATGTATTGTAGACATTGATATACAATAGAAACACACACGATTGAAGTTGAACTAATGTTTTGATGTATTCCCTCTGAGGTGTTTAATATAACATAATAATGAAGTGAGAGATAACTTCATTATTGGCAGGGGGGTTTTGATGCCGGCAACCTGGGATTGAAGTCTGGTTTAATATAACATAATAATGAAGTGCATGAAGATATATGTTAAAGTATGATGTTTCATTATGAGAATGCAACTTAAAAAATGGGCGTTGGTTTGGCTCGTTTATAAGGTAGAAGGGTACCTGGGGGCAATACTTATGTTTTTGAACCCATTAAAAACCAATACATCAAACATCAACATCAAAACACAAGTTATATAGTAAGGAATTGTAAACACCATTGTTCAAATTTCACAAGAAAATCATGATTGTTCGAATATAAAGCTAAACAATAGATGAAATGAAAACAAACAGCATAGTCTACTAATTGTTCACAAAATAATAGCTTATGCAATCATCCTTACATTGCACTGACCATTGGTATTTTTGAACAAGAACAAATACAAAATGATGCACACAATTACAAGCATCAAACACATTGACTTCTTTCTATTTGTCTCGACTGCAGTTTGCAACTTCTTGGACTCTATTTCAAACAATCTTCTTTCGTCCGTCAGTTTATCCTTCTCATCTTTCAATTGTTGACCGATGTTACCAAACTCGTGTTGAAGATAGTTGTAATCAATTTCCAACATTCGTTTATCCTACTTCAGTTTGTTGCTTTCACGTTGTAGATGGTAAATTCGAGCTTGAAAGTCATTAGATTTTTGCAGCAGCGAGGAAATTAATTGCTTTGAACGCGTGCACATTGGACCATCAACCCACGAAAAGAAGTCGCAACCCCCATCCTGCAAAAAATTAAAAAAAAAAAAAAAAAAAGAAAATTGTGAAAGTCATCTAAAATTAGGGTTCTTCAACAACGATTTATGTGAATCTTACCTTGTAATAATTACATGATTGGAATCGCCTTCCAGGGTTATCCGATGTCCAGGACGTGCGAATGACAGAATCATGTCCACATTTACATACCCTCAACACGGCGTGACGCGAGATGCCGGACATTTTTTTTGCAGGTTGGGGAAAAAAACCAGTGTTTTTGAAGTCCGTAAACTACTTAGGGTTTTTTGTGAAAAATTTTAGTCAGAAAATCAAGATACTATATAGATTCACCAAAATTTGGAAAGGGCCCCAATTTTTGTTATAATTTCCCCCCATTTACGTAAAATTTAAATTTAAATTTGAACAAAAAATACAGAATCAACAAGTGATGAAAGGTCATAATAACACCCAATAATTATCATTTGCATTAAACATTAGATATTAGTACATTAGGGACGTTACAATTTAATAAAGTTTAACTAATTACCAAACATCCCAAAACAAGCCGTAATAACCAAAGTACCAAACATCCCAAAACAATTATCACTTGAACTAACATGATCTAACCGTCTGCCAAAACATCACAGCACATTAACAACAAAAAAATTTACATACGACATAATCAGAAGAACTCCACAACAAGATCTCCACAAAAGTGACATACATCTGATACACCATAGAACAAAAGTCATTTCATACAGCAGATGAAGATTCAGAATCGCTGGGGACATCAAAAGTCGACTGAAGAGCATCGTTGAAACAAATTTTAGCGGCTTCCCTCATTTCAAATACCAGCATGCATTCGCTGTGCCACTTGAAGCCAGTTGTTCGGAGAAATCGTTCAATAGTGTTTTCCTTTATTGTTTTTTCAGGAAAAAATACATAAGCGATTAATATATAATGTAATTGATTGTATTGACTGTACATAGCTAGTTAATGTAAATATATAAATAATTCACCTCGGGCCACGCATAGAACCGATAGAAGTTGTTCACCCTAACCTCGTCAGTTTTCGAATCGACTTTTGAGCGTGTTCTCTGGAGAAACTTCGTGAAAAGGTTGTAGTGGTTCCTTAGCCGCTGAACTTGTTCTCTAACAGCCCGGTTATCTACAGACCTGCCCAATACTTCCGACAGATCTTGCGCCAGTGGAGACCATATTGAGTTGAACACCTTAAAATTGTGAATGTCGGGCAATGCGAGAGCCTTTTCAAAGAAGAGTTTGTAACACTCCAAGACGTCCTGCTCGCTCCATCCTGGGTTGCGAAAGATTGCCGCCATTTTTAGTACATCATCGTCGTTGTTCGTCATGGCCGTAGTAAAGGCACGAAATAATTGAATCAAAATATAGCAGTCGTATAATGAAATTGGCCGAAAAAAGAAAAACCAAGAAAGGATTTTAGGATAAATCTATGTGCAGTGTTGTTTATAGTGCCTTTACACACGTCTGTAAACCGAACACGCAACCACCATCCCCACCTCCTCAATAAATGATACTCATCATTACAATTGTGGGTAGGTTTTATGATACTCATCATTACAATTGTGGGTAGGTTTTAGACTTTTAGTGCTTAATGACAAAATGAAGTGAGAAGCAAAATTTTTTTGATAAAGACGTTCCTCAGAATATCATCATGACTTTCAAAGTCATGTGCGGGACATACGTGTGGAACTAAATAATCTACAACAACATTTTGTTATCAATATTTGATATATTGGTCATCGGTTTTATAATGTTTGATATTTAAATACAAATATATCCCCATATATATATATATATATATGGGATTAGTAATAAATATTGTTGAAATAACTAANTATATATATATATATATATATATACATGGGATTAGTAATAAATATTGTTGAAATAACTAATTCATTTATTCTGCAACAGCAATCAGTACTCAAAAAACCAAATAGTAGAAAATAGTGTTTGGTACATTTAAATACCAAAAAATACGATGATTGGTGCAGAATAAACTAAACAATATCGGTCCAAAAAATACGAACAACTAATTTTCCCAGTCAATCTCAATATCAACTGCAGACTGACCACTGTCCATATAACTCGTTACATATTTCCGTAATTCATCAGTCGTTCTTATTGGAATGTCATAACGCGAGTTCTATCCGAGCTGACAACCTGCGTAAATAGGCACTGAATCTTTGACTGATGGGCGGATACTGGCATACTTCACTAGGCTGGATAGTGTATCAAAAGTTATGTGTCTCGAGTCAAAGCAGGCACCACTGTAGACTTTATTACATGAATTCCTACCCTTAACGCAGAAACCAATCATAACCCTACAAACATAGAATAATACATTATTAACGAACATTTAAATGTGAATGTTAAACGAATTTAAAATATGATTTTAAACTACCCATGAAAGCTAATACAGTGTAGATTATGTACAAACATATACGGAAATGTCTTACTTCTCGTTGTATTGTGCTGTGTACATCGTGACAATCAACCTTTCCCTTGCTTCCTTAGACTCATCCTGTTTGCAAAAATAATTAACTTTTAAATAATTGTGACTGTACTATGCACATCAATTATACCTGCAAACTTGTAATTACCTCCGTAAGTACACGCCAATTAATCTTTGTTATCGAATTGGAACGACATAACATCTGAAGGCAAACATACAGACCGCAATCGTATCTGCCGAATAATTAATTATAAGTTAGATAAAATCAACACGTAAGTAAGGATTATAATTCAATGTCCGTATATAGTTATACAATGATGATGTCCGTACCCATTGAGTTGTTGTGGAACACTTAGGTCGAACACACACTTGAACGTCGTTGCAATATTTTTAGCGAGAAACCCATCATCATCCCATAAAGAGACAATCCGCTCCAGTCGGCTTATCTGATGAGGAATAATAGAATATTAACAATTACATCCAATCACGGTAAAAAAAATTAAAAATAAACCATAAGGCCGTTTGAAATTCATAAATATCAAAACAAGGAGGTTACCACTTTTTTTGCTTTTTCCAACCTCCCCGCATTTGTTGGTCCCGAAAGCAAGGTATCGCAGATTCGTATAACCGATGTTCGAATATCAACAACGCATATGAACCAGTGCATATTCGAATCCGATATAGGCAAAGTTATACTTAAGCATTCGTCCGCACGATCAGTAAATAGTCCATGTTGGAAGAACATAGATTGAATCGATTTGTCACTGTGCGATGACATAGCCATTCCCTGCATTTCACATATAGGGTCATTGAATATATGGTATGATACTTAAAACGTTATTAGGATGTTAATATTTTTAAGTTTCTCACGGTGAATGTTGCCGGTAAAACCCAATGGCATATTATGCGTCCTGTCGGGGGCCGTTTCATCACTGCTTCATAATTAGGATTCACTGATGCATGTACAGCGACAAAATCAATGACCTACAAAAAGAAGGATTGAGACAACAACCAAGAAAGTCAAAATTAAAAGTAAAAAACGATAATAAATAAAGTTAATTGATGGATTATATTATCTCACAGGACTTGAAAACCAGTGCGGGTATTCAGCACTTAGCAACTCAGCCCTTGACACATTCCATCCGTGATACTTGAGCAATATCTTCCTGGGAAAAATAGTTGTTCGACAATTTTGCAATTAATATACAATTGGCCACCATAAAGTAAGGATTAATATGTTTAAACAACACATTAATTTTCATTTTGCCATAGTGTCGTTATCTTACGTAAGATCCAAGGCAGCGTTGAAAACGTAATTGGACACTTCTTCGTCATGAAATGTAATATCTCGAAAATATTCGAACACGTCTATTCCCGTATTGGTGGTTGCTTCTGGAGAGCCTGATCCTTCTGACAATGCATGAAAATCCAACTTGTTGGGTTTGACTGTACGCTGAAACGTTTCTGCGGCAATATTCCGTTTAAGCGGTGACTCTCTTGCAGGCATATACTCTGCCTTTTCTTTGTTATCATTTTGTCCTTTAAGCGGTGACTCAAAGGCAGGCGTATGCTCTGCCTTTTCTTTTTTATCAATGTGTGACTCTCTTGCAGGCGTATGCGGTGACTCTCTTGCAGGCGTATGCTCTGCCTTTTCTTTTTTTTATCATTTTTCCCTTTAAGCAGTGACTCTTTTGCAGCCGTATGTATTGCCTGCTCCTTTTCATCATTGTGTCCTTTGACTGATTCGGACATGTTTTCATCTTCTGGAGTTGCAACTACTCTGGGCTTATTGTCTCTCAGCAAAGTGATTATAGCGGACACCCCATGACTAACTAAGGTTAGTTGGTCAATGAGCTTGTCTGTGAAATCAGCTTTCATATTTGATTCAATCGGCACATTATCCTTCGACACAGCCTCATCCATCGTCATTTCATCCAACTGATGACGAATTTTCCAGTCCTGCATAAGAACGTATGTACTTATTCAAATGGTCTAAGTTTATTAAACTTAACTGTATATGATTTATAACAATGTATAGTTCATTAAGCCAATAAGAAAAACAAATCTTTGACGTCCAAAAATCATACTTACAAATTTTTCTTCATAGCCGCCCATTTGTTTAAACACCATAATGGTTCTACTCATGTCTTGTTGGGTCCACTGCTCTAAATATGGGGATCCAGAATGCCTCGTCACATAACTGATGAAAACCACCTGTAGTTGTTTAAAATTAAATTTCACATAGATCTGTAAATAATTTCAAAATATATCAGCCATGTTAAAAAAATTATTACCTGCAACAATAAAATGCAACCCGTGACATAAGAGTATTTGCGTGATTGCACGGCCTTTGCGCCTAAATCAAGCCTACGCAGAATTATTTCACACCAATTGTAGTCTTGTACTGCATTCAAATCATCCAAGTAGTCTAGATACTCATAATCTATAGACAACTTATCCTTAGTTCGTGGAAACAACACTGTCGCAAACAATAGCATCAAATAGGGTACGACGAATTCAGGTCCGGTTGTCTCGCACTTTGAAACAAGTTTATGCAGCTCAGAATACACCATCATTTTCCCATTTTTATCGGCAAATAAACTTTTATACTTCTTTTTACCCTCATCAATATTCTTCGGAAGTATCATACCGTCCCTCGACAAACCAAAATGTGACTCAACAACTTGTAGTGATAGAGGTATTGAAACACCACCGACGTTTATACTCCGGGATTTATTGTCATAATTTTTTATAATCATACTCACTAATTTAGAATCAATCTGGGACACAGTAAGACGAGGAAACGTCCCAAATCCTATCTTTTCAAGTTCACGGCGCTGCCTTGATTTCATGTTGTTATTGATTTCCACTATTGTCTTGAGTTTGGTCCGATGCAGCAGGTTTGCGTCATCCATAGAAAATCTTGGTGAATGAGTTGATTCTCTCCTACTTCTTTTTGTATTCGCTGGAGAATTCTACGAGATGTATGAAAGTATAACATTCAAGATTTAAAACATATACGAGAAACAATATTCATAACGAAAGCAATAACTATGGATGGAATATTCAAGATTTAGACTTTTTTACCTCAGCAATACCAGACATTATGTGGCAAATAATGCGCCGATCACTTTGATAATGTTGATGCCGGTTATACAACGAACGTGGAGGTAATATAATGTGTTGTGATGTTAGTAGATGGGAGGTTCACACAAGATAACTACGACATGGAATAGTCAGTTGAGATTTTTAGGTGATACGTAACTGACTAAATATCTGCAATATCGCACTTGCCATAAATATTTTATACTTATTTTATTATAGGACTACTGTATTATAGACAAAAAATATTGTTAAAATCTGCAATATCGCACTTACCATAAATTTTTTATACTTAAATATTGAAGGACTACTGTATTATGGACAAAAAATATTTGTTTAACAATAAATTAAAATATTGGTTTAACAATAAATTTGGGACCGATAATTAATGAAATCATAATTTAGGAAATTTGAATTTAATGTTATACATGGTCAAGATTCATGTGTGATAGTATTACATGATTAGATATTTCGACATTATCATCTGTATACCTTGTATATTGCAACAAATAATGTGGTCAATATATATATATATATAAATATTCATAACTTGTAATATATATTGTTTTAATTAATAAAGTAATATAATAATGATGTTATTAAAAAATAGTTATATAATAATGTAATATATATATAAATATATATACCTACCCACGTGATTTTAGTTTTAATAAATATATATTTGTCATATTATTTGATTGTAATTAATTTAAAAAATTTGAGAAAAATATATTTGGCTTTATGTCGTTAACGAATGTTTCGAGAAATCGAAATGCATTAGTACAACTGCAACACCCGTGTACTACACGGGTAGTGAATTAAGAAATATTACATCAACATATTTAAATATAAATCGAACCGAATTGACTATTGTTTGGTAAAATTAGTTGATAAGCTAGCTGATAACTGATAAGCTAGCTTATAGCGTATTTAAATAATGTAAGATTTGAAA